GTCTAGGGCAACTACCGGTTAAATACATATTCCGTTCCATCACGCATCTTTCTCATCTCGTCCAGCCCTTACAAAAGTCTCCTCCTGAATGCACTCTGCGTTTGATCCGTGGTTACTTGTGAGTTTTCGTGGGGGTTAGTAGCAAGTTGTCCGTGAAGGCGACTTCTCCAGGTGCCCAGCTTCCTATAGTCAGCCGCTGGTGCGAACCTGCTGTCATGCCACAAGGTGAGTGTGTTAGTAGGAGAGGGTGGGTGGTTGTGGGTAGGGTTATGTCGTCTTCTGTCCTTCGTTCAGTCGTCCAGTTGCCATGGCATACTTGATGGTAGCCTGCACTGCTGCCATGTTGGGTTTCCAATCTTTTGGGTCCGTAGGCGCCTTCCCCCCAAGGTGAAAGGACAGGCTTCCCGTCTTCGATCTGGTTACTTGCTGCATCTCGGCCCGTAGCGAGGTCCATCTCAGGCATCGAAAGAGGAAGTGCTCTACGGTCTCAGCAGCTTGCCCGCAAGCGCACTCGACGTCCAGTGCGGCGCCAATCTTTCTCAGGTAGGTGTTCAATCGTGTCATTCCCGTTCGCAGCTGCGCGAGGACGCTCGCTTGCGCTGCACTTAGGCCGTCGTATATCCAGCGCGTGTGTCTTCCCGGGAGTGCAGTGTCGATCCTCTTGGAGTATCTGCCGACGTCTGCTGGCAGGGAGAGGTGTTCCCCTTGGGCCTTCCTCGCCGCGGCGAGCGTTGTCGATACGGCCCGATACGGTTCCTTCCTCAGCGGTTGTTCCGGGTCGGCGGCGCATTGTGCTGCTCTCTTCGCTGCTCGGGTGAGCTCCGATTCCGCGTCAGTGGGAATCCATCCGATCGAGACCGTGACGCCTTTCTCTCTGAGCCTGTCGACGGTGGCGTAAATCCGCTCCATGTCTGCCTGTCCGGACTGGGCACGCGGTTTAGTAATCGCTTGCGTCGCTGCTTTGTTCCTGGTGAGAATGACAATGTTGCCAAATACCAGGCGTCTCGATGTCTCGCGCACTATCCTGTTGACCGCGTCTAGCATCCTATCGTGGGCATCCAGGCCTTTGTGCATGGCCGCTAGCTCGGCCGTGAACGGGTTCTGCATGTCTCTTGGCCCTAGTCTGGCTCTTTCCGTGAAGACGCCCTCGGCCGCCCAGATGGCCCGCGGGGTCCTAGTTGTTATACCGATGCCGACCGTGTCGCTTCTCGTTGATGTGCTTGTGGTGATCACTGTGGGGTCTTGTGGTGCGCCCTCAGAAAGGGCCGTGGTCACATCCTTCTCCTGGAGTAGGTTGATTCTCTTCTTCCAAGGGCCGAGTACGAACGGCTTGATGATCTCCGAGTTGTCGACGGGCATTCCCTCATGTGCTGCTGCTATTCGTTGGAGCGGGGACGTGAACCGTCTCGTGCTGCGCGTCATGAAGTGGACCAACGGGTGGTTTCTCGGCAGGGTGTGCATGCCTATCCAGAAAGTTGTAGCGCGTCTTGCGAATCGCTGCCGGACCGTGGGGATGCTGGCTTCCGCTCCTGCCACCGCTGTCGCCACTGTACGGAAGGTCCCCACGATGGCCTGCGCGCCAACATTTTGCACCCTGTCGAGGGGCTTGACCAATGTCTCTCCACAAGCATTCATCCAGATACATGATGCGTAGTCCATCACGGGCGCTACTGTTGACGTGTAGAGTTGCCTGGCCACAGATGGCGCTAGACCTCGCAGCCTTCTCAGTGCCATTGCGGCTTTGAGGCCCTTGGTCGCTGCTCTGGCGATATGCTTCTTGTACCGGAGTTGTTGGTCCAGGATGACTCCCAATACCTTTACTTCTTCCTTCGGGTTCACCGTTCGCCCCTTGATAATGTACGGCGTGCCGTCCACTCGTTCCGCGTTCCGCGAGAAGTGTATGATGGCCGTCTTATCCGCTTCGAACGTCGCACCGCTCCGTGACTCCCAGTTGAGCGCTTTCTCGATGATTCCCTGGATCCCTCCGCGGTTGGCTTCCGCTGTTGGTCCGACCACCCATGCTGTGTAGTCGTCTATAAACGCGACCGCTCCTCCGTCCGCACCGATCCGGTATTGGACGAGGTCCGCGTTAAAGAAGAGAAATAGCACTGGGGAGAGAGGCGACCCTTGGGGGAGTCCAGCTTGCGGGAAGGCCCGCTTCTCGGACGCCTGTCCGTTGACGTCGATGGAGGCTGTCCGCTCGGAGCAGAACGCGCCCACCCATCGCACCAGCTGCAGTGGTATGCCTCGCGCGGTCAACATCTGAAGCAGCCTGTCCCTGTACACGCCGTTGTAGGCTCCTTTAACGTCAAAGCTGACTAGGCTGACGACTTGCGGCCGCGCCATGCCTTGAAAATGTGTTCCTGCAGTAGCATGAGTGCCTGCTCTGCCGACCGGCGCTTTCGCGCTCCGAAGTGGTTTGACGGCAGTAGTCCGAACTCCTCGACCGCGTACGAGATCCTTTCCGCGATCACCGCTTCCAGGATCTTCCCAAGCGTCGAAAGCAACGAGATCGGCCTCCACGCCTTGGCAATCGTGTAGTCTCCCTTGCCGGGTTTCTTGAGCGGCACGATCTTTGCGTGTCTCCATTGGTGGGTCAGGGCTCCCTCCTCGACCGTTTTCCGAAAGAGTTTCAGCACTCGGTGCTTCACCACCGGCCACACTTGTCTCCATGCCATCAGTGATAGTCCATAGGCTCCGGGTGCTTTCCATGGTTTCATCCTGAAGAGCTGCGCTTCTATCTCTCCCAGGGTGATCTCCGGCATGTCGATGGGCGACCGTTGTGGTCGCGGACCCTCCTCGGCTATCTCGTCAGGCAGTGGTGGAAAGAAGGTGGCTAGGAGCTCCTCGGCCTGCTCCGTTCTGTTGGTCGTGCGGGTTCCGTCAGCTCTGGCGAGCTGTGGTACCTTGTCATAAGACCCTCCCCCCTCCGTGTCCAGGTACTTAGCGGCCTTCCAGATGTTGGTGTTGTCAGCCAGGAAGTCGTCCCAGTGGGTCTTCTTTCGCCGCCGAACATCGTCGTGAAATTGCTTTGACGCCTATTTCGCTAGTCGTTCAAGTTCCGGCGGAGCCTGGCCCCCTCTCCTAGCGGATCTGGCCCTGTTCCTCCAGTACGTGTAGATGCGACGTAGCTGTGTTAACTCTGTCGTCCACCACCTCTAGTTAAAGCTCTGAAATGGGAGAACAAGTGTTATCCTTTTTCTATCTATTACAGCAAGCACAAACTTATTTATAGCTGTGCCTGCTATCCTACTACTGCCTAACATCACTGGCTGCCTACTAGGCAGCCTCCTCGTAGATGTTTCTGCCTAGTAGGCAGTGATCTTGGGATCCAACTCCTCTTGGCATAGCGCGATGGTTTGGCCTTTGGCGAGAGCGCGTGGACCGCCTCTAGGACGGTGTCCATCAATCCATCGGCCTGCTCCTGTACCGACCCTTCTGAGGGTACCGTCTGCAGTCTTTCGGCAATTCTCGCGTTGATCTCCTTCCACGGCGCGTTCTTGAATAGGAGCCTCGGCTCCATCGTGGGCTGCGGCATGGCCAGATCCAGCTTCGTTTCCACAGCCTGGTGGTCGGACCCGTGGTCTGTTTCGGGTGTCATGCACTTGACCAAGGTTCTGGCGAGATCCTCCGAGGCCAAGGTCAGGTCGATCGTCGATTCTTGGTCCCTACCATGAAGATTGCTAACCTGGAGGAGGAACTGGCCCGTCAGAAGAGAGGGAAGAAGAGGAAGGCTGTTCCGAATCCCAATAAACGCTTCATGACTATTGGCGAGGCTCTAGTCGCCGGAGAATCGAATCCAGAAAAGGGGAGCGAAAAGAAGGATGTTGTGGCGAAGTGTGGCCCTTCGGGGGAGTCAGTTCGGAATCGGAGGCTGCTTCGGTAATTCAAGTCAGAGATGAAATCGTACCACCTCAGCGCACCACTCGGTCAGGGAGGTTGGCAAAAAGGCCTAAAAACAATAGATACATCAATCTTTAGTTTAAACCAGGCAGCCATTTGCAAATAAGTTTTATTCTGGTCAAGCTGTGTATAAATGAAAGTGGTGATTTTTGGTGGTGGAATTTTCTTTTTGCCTGACGAAAGGGTGGGGGTGTGTATGGTAGTCGTAAGCCGAGAGTGGAAACGAAGAAACGGTGCTGTGGCACCTGCAGGAAAGCCGGCCACAACGCGAGAACTTGTCAGACAGTTATCTCATCGTCTAAGAAGACGGCGAGGAGTGATTTTGATTGATTTAAGGCGTTGGGGTTGAATGCTAAGGAGACATAGTCGCGTAGTCGTGGTGAGGTACCTCACTCGCTGGATTGTCTTACTCGCTATACATCTACGTTACCCGTGAACCTATTGGGACCCATGCAATCGACAGTCGAATTGTGTCAGACAATTAGGGATCCTGATTGGCTATTGTACCAATAGGCCAAGATCAGCCCCGGACGGGATCGAGTGCGGGGTGCCTTAACAAGAGGAGACGAATACCATCATCAATACGAAAAAAAGATTTCTCGTGACATCAGATGACCCTTTCCAAGACGTCGAGTTGCCCTTATCATAGCACGTGCGTCTGACAAATTGACGTGGATAGATTCCCTACTTAGGGAAAAGATTGTCAGCTGATCACAGAACCTTGACGTCTCGTATGTTCAAACTTGACGGTTACTCTTTGTAATATGCTGTCATTGGCAGAAAAGTGTCGCGCTAGCTTGCTAGCTTCACAGCGTCGTCATGTTACCGTTATGATGACGAATTCACAGGTGGCTTTCAGTCCCCTAGGTGGGACTGGTCCAGGGGTCCTCTTTGACCCTGCGTTCCCCAGCACCACTAGTACAGGGCCGGCGCTAAACACTCAATTGGATAAAAGGGTAAGGAATCTGTAGGCGAAATCGACAGATGAGATCGGAGTCGTGAAATGGCAGGGTGATGTCATAGTGCCTCGTTGCCGTATATCAACGCCCGTCAGCCATGCGAGAACGGAGCGTTCCGGACGAAAACAGCTATTTTTCGACTGGAAATTACGACATTGCCACCAGCGGGCAAGATGCAGAGTTTTGCTGTAGGTTGCAGGTGGGAATTGACAAGCTAGCTTGGAACCGATCCCGTTAGCCAGACATTCTTGTGTGCAGTCATCGAGAATCGCCATCGAACTTATCGCATACCGCTCTTATATCTGATCTAACGACACTTCCGTTCATAACCTCCATCCCCCCTTACCTCCCCCACATCCTTCCTGATTAAGTTACTCCAGACCCCGAATCCACATCCTCAAACCATCGAGATGACCGAGTTCATTCGCGGGCAAATCTTCGGCACCGCATTCGAGGTCACATCGAGGTACGGGGATCTGCAGCCTGTCGGAATGGGAGAGTTTGGTCTCGTCTGGTATGGCCCTTAATCGTCTTGTAGCCAATATGGAACGGTCACTAACAACAGCTCCTATTGCGCAGCTCTGCCCACGACCATCTCATCAACCAGAATGTTGCCGTTAAGAAGGTCGTGAAGCCCTTCAGCACTCCCGCCCTTGCCAAGAGGACATACCGAGAGCTGAAGCTGCTCAAGCACTTGAGGCACGAGAACGTACGGCTGTCTCAGCCGCTGCCCTATGACCAATGCTGACCCGTTCTAGATCATTTCCTTGAGCGACATCTTCATCTCTCCTCTCGATGACATCTATTTCGTCACTGAGCTCCTCGGCACCGATCTGCACCATCTCCTGACCTCCCGGACGCTGGAGAAGCAGTTCATCCAGTACTTCCTCTACCAGATCATGGTATGTAGACCAGTAGGCTTCTTGGACCCGAGCTAATTCGATGGTAGCGTGGCCTGAAATACGTACACTCCGCCGGCGTCATTCATCGTGATCTGAAGCCCAGCAACATCCTTGTCAACGAGGACTGCGACTTGAAGATCTGTGATTTCGGCCTCGCCCGTATCCAGGACCCCGCGCAAATGACTGGCTACGTCTCTACGCGGTACTACCGTGCCCCAGAAATCATGCTCACATGGCAGAAGTACGACGTCGAGGTCGATATCTGGAGTGCCGCCTGCATCTTTGCGGAGATGCTCAAGGGAAAGCCCCTATTCCCAGGTAAGAACCATGTCGACCAGTTCTCCATCATCATCGAGCTGCTCGGTACCCCTCCTGATGATGTAATCAACACGATTGCCATTGAAAACGTACGTGGTCTTCAAATTTATCTTGTCGTGAAGTAGCAGACGTTGAATTTATCTTGCTGCTGCAGACTCTCCGATTCGTCAAGTCGCTTCAGAAGCGAGAGCGCCAGCCGCTGAAGAACAAGTTCAAGACCGCCGATCCTTCGGCTATCGACCTGCTTGAGCGGATGCTTGTCTTCGACCCGAAGAAGCGGATAACGGCGACAGAGGCCCTGGCGCATGAGTACCTTGCTCCTTACCACGACCTTACCGATGAGCCCGTTGCCGTGGAGAAGTTCGACTGGAGTTTCAACGATTCTAACCTGCCAGTAGACACGTGGAAGATTATGATGTAAGTACACTCGCCCCAGATGGCTGCCATGACATGAGTTAATACTGTCTTTGCAGGTACTCCGAGATTTTCGACTACCATAACGCTAGCGCAGCCCAAATTGAGGAGCAGTTTAACGGGCAGGCGCCTGAGGGGCAATGAAAAGAAATATCGAGAAATCCCGTACGGAGCGTGCGGCGGCATCTTGGGCGCTTCGGCGAGGTACAGGAAGCAACTCGAAAGTTGAACGAGTAGAGTCGAGTACCCTGCATGGGTGATTTCACCCGGTGCGTGTGAACAAGCCGACAATGAGAACACACAGCCCGTATTCTCTTGGTTCAGAATCCTTTCCCCTTCCAAATCTCCCATGATAGCCTCTGTATCCGAACTCGATTCCAAATGCTTCACAATGTTAATACCATGGCGTTTTCAGCCCTGGAGTTCGCCGAGTGGCCGTCCTGAATTGCTCCACCGTTCCGGGCACTGCTCCCGTGGAGTGGCGGCATGTGGCAACCATTTCCCCGTTCCGAACAGCTCCGGGGCGGTGGATCGTCGAGAATGGGCCATCGTCCGCATGTCAATGGGCCGGGCAAGGGTCATCTCAACGTAGAAGCTGTCAACCTATACTCCGCCCCAGGTGAGGAGGCGTCCTGACCCACATAAGAAGGAACTGTAAGGCCGCCAAGTCTCACTTGCGGAACCGCCCGTCAGCAGGAAGAGCGGCTCGAGAGCCGTCCTCACGGAAATCCAGGCTGAGATTGCCCGCCTGAAGCGAGGACTGAGCTGTCCGATCCTCAGCGGATAAGAGATCCTGCCAGGGAAGCTGCCTCTCATCACAGTGCACCTCGTGCAGGTGTCAGACGTACGTGCCCTGATCAGGGCAACTCGACGTCTTGGAAAGGGTGATCTAATGTCACGAGAAATCTATGTTCGTATTGATGGTGATGTTCTTGTGTTGTTCCTCTTGTTCAGGCACCCCGCACTCGATCCCGTCCGGGGTTGCTCTTGGCCTATTGCCACAATAGCCAATCAGGATCCTTGGTTGTCTGACAGAAGGACGTCTCCTTGATCCGCTTGACGAAGTTTGGCCAGTCTAGGCCTAGCTGAGAGTTGATGTATCTATGGCGCCCGAACCATGGTTGGGGCAGATGCCGTCTCCCGTTTGCCTTTCGGCAGTCGAGGGGATGGACAGGGGATTTTCGTTTTCCGCATGTGCAGAGCAGTTGGGCATCTTCGTGGCTGAACCTCTCGTGCTATGCCGCAAGGTCGCCGTGTCTAGTGCGGGCAGCCAGGATCCAGTGGAGTTCCTTCCTTGTCAGGGTGGTGAGCTCCTCCGTGGGGGATAGCTGGGCCTCAAGTTCAAGGTCGTCATAGCTCTCGGGCTGGCTTTTGAGCCACCAGGCCTGGAAGGCGTGGCGGTGGCCTTTCCGGATGTGCCGTTTCACGTGGCTGAAGGTTGGGAGACAGTCTTGTGGGGGGGGAATGGCGGCACCTTTCTTGGCCATGGTGTCTGCCAGTTCATTACCCGGGATGCCTACGTGGCCAGGGGCCCAGCGGCAGTCTACCGGTACGGTAGTGCTCCGTATGATTTGTCTGAAGTCGAGAATGGCTTCTTGTGAGGAGACGGGGGACGTCCCGTTCAGGCACCAGATGACCGAGGTATTGTCGAGGCACACTGTGATGGCTGTGGTGTGTTCGTCTGTGCAGTGCGAGAGGGCCGCTCGGAGTCCTGCTCTTGCGCCTTCAGCCTCGGCGTCGAAGACCTCGGCTTTCAGGAGAGGTCTGCAGCCGGCGTGGGCGGGGTTTTGTTGTTGCCTCTGTAGACCACGTAGCCAAAACCGGTCTTGAGGTCAGGAGCTTGGGAGCCGTCTGTGAATACCAACAGGTGTCCCGGGGGCCGCGTCTTGACCCAAGCATTGAAGGAGGAAGCTGCTTCCTCCTTTGTTGCTTGGGTTGGCGCAGCACAGTAAACCCTGGGGCTTAAGATCGGGCGGGGAAACGGGGGGATGCTGGCAGCGGCGGCCGTTAGTATCGTGGGACGTAGAGTTCTTCCCCGGATGCGTTGAGCTCGATGGTCCTTGATACGATGCACCAGAGGGTGTCCTGCATCAAGTGTACCAAGCCGAAGTGCGTGTCTAGAGCGTGCCATGTCCAGCAAGAGCTCTGTGGGCTAGGTACCCGGGATGGGCTGAAAGAATACCTCGATGACATGGGCAACATGGGATTAGAGACACTGGTCGGTATTGATGCTGGTAATCACCTCCAGGCGACAGCGATCTAACTATGGAGTTGAACTGGGATTGAAAGTGCTCTTGAGGTGCTCGTCCAGTCAGAGCATCAGTCTTCCATCAACAGAACATTATCCTCCCCCACTGAGTAGCGCTGCCTCTGCAAGGACCCTCAGTTTGACCGGACTACCCCATCCTGCTGTCTTTAGAAACTTTGATCCAGCCCGATGGGCCGACGTGTCACTGCTCCGAACCATAAAATTATTCGTAGCCGACGCGGGGCGCCTCTCGACTTTCTCCTCAAGCCGATGTGTCGGACGAGCATTCATGGTCCACAACCGCTTGTAGTAGGCTTCATTCGCGCGAGCCTCAGCAAGCTGGTCTGTAAGGGCGCTGTTGGCTCTGAGGATGTCTTCTAGGCTTCGATGCTCCTGTTGAAATGCGACCTCGTACTTGCTCTCCCAACAGTCAGACTTCTTAGCTACCTCCACAGGATTCGCCCGAGTCGCGTGGCAAAGTCTGTACAGCCTCTCCGAGGCTTCAAGAAGGCGAGCGTTACCACCAAGCGCGCCTGGTTGAAATGCACCAAGAGCAGTCTTACATTCGAAAGGCTTGATAATTGTCAGGACTACGTTGTCTTTCCTTGATACTGTAGTCATTGCGTACCTCATCCAAAGACTGATCAAGGGCCATCACGGCGTTGGTCGGACCTGTGTAGGCAGGGTTGTTTGTTAGTAACCCAGCGGAATGACGGCCAGGCGCCTGAGCCTTAATTCTGTTCCCAAATGCATTGAAGATCTTATTCCCAATTTATGGACCTCGACGTCTGCCCATCCCATAATAACCACAAGCCGGGGGAGCTGTACGCCCTGATTCACTCTCAAACACGCTAAATATTTTGACGTTATCGAACTGGGGCCCGCATGCCGGCCCCAGGTGAGCTTCCCCTGGCCCCCAAATCGACATCGACCAGGGATCTCCACTACGCCCATGGAAGATACCCGAGGCCGTACATATAACCCGACGACATATCAGCCGACGATGGAAAGGAATGTGCATCACAGAGACTCACCATGTCGCACGAATACCCCCAGCCCAACGAACTGCCCCGGCTCCGGATGGACCAAGCACCTGGAACATGGAGCAATTTTGACTTCACCGACATTTCTGACTTTCCATTTACGAACGCATCGGATACCCAGCAAATGCCCGACGAGCTGCTATTGCAGCCACTCCTAGACCCCAGACTCAGTTCTCCAGATGAGAATGCAGCACAATACAGTGCATGGGAGTGGAACGGAAACGACCAGTGTTACCAACCAGAAGACAGCCCAACCCACCAAGACAACAGCAACTTTGATCATGCGCTGGCCGAAGGGACGGACGAAGACATCAGGGTTGATGCAGGTAGCGAGACTATAAGCATCGGCCGGGAGGTGCTTGATCTTGTGCGCAGGGCTACTCAGTTCGAGGAGCATGTCAAGCAGAGGCTAGCCAAGATCGAAGAGACCGTCGAGCTTTGGGCAAACAGGTATGCCGAGCATCCCTACCACACAACAAGCTTTCTAGCTCACATCTTCAGGATGGAGGAAGACAAGGAGAGGATGTGTCAGGAGATTGATGCAAACATCGAGAAGCTGAAGGCTTGGTCTATCGAAGTCGAGGCCGTTGTAAAGGAAGCTCGAGTACGGAATTAGCTACCTCGTAGGGCTGGAGAAATAGCTGCATAATCGTACATACCTATGACACACCCATGTTTTGATTAGCATGTGGCCTATTCTGACAGCGCGGTAGCACCCCCGCAGCCGCCCCAAGGTCCGAACCCAGCCCCCAGTCCGAGCCCACATCAGATACATCCATCGCTGCCAATGTCGATCATGTTCTATTCTGGGGCCGTAACTCGGGCCTAACAATGGCAGGCCATGTTCTGGGTGAATACATAAGTATGGCCGTAGATCCCACGAAATGGTCCGTGTCTGCTCTGACAAACAAGCCGCAAAATGGACTTAAACGAAGTCGGACGACAGAAGAAGGCGGTCAGAAGGAACATTGGCTCCTTACTGACGAAGTGTGAAGACTACAGCAAACTGGGGGACATCGAAGTCGCTCTTTATGTCTCTTTCCCCAACGACGGAGGCTTTGTCTCTTACGAATCGACCGACCTGAGCTGACGTCAAGATATCGAAGCCAAGGTACAGTTACTGGCCTTCTGTCTTGCTACCTCCTCTGATCACAAGTAGAAAGCACAGGCACCACCAACCCTTCATCTGCCAGGGGATCTCGTGAGAGCTGTTGGTCATAAAGTCACGGGATTCTATTTCAAACAGAAGAGAGGAAGGCCTTCTCGGGCGAACAAGATGAGCAAAGCGGGGCAGTCGGCCATTGGATCAAAAGCCGGGGGCCGGAAAAGGATGACGAGGTCTCTGGCCCGTGCTTGCCCAACGGCGAGGGGGAACCCGGACCATCCCGTAGCCAGTGCGTTTCCGATCATGCCGGATCTGAGAATTGCCAGCCTGCGGGCTGGGGGTGGGAGCTAAGCGGGTGCCTATGTTGCGAGTCACGTTCATGGGCCAAGCTCCTCGTGAAAGAGACCACCAAAGTAAATCGAAATCGCAAATTGCTGTTGGTTGGTTGAACCACTTCCATTTCTGCTCATCAAGGTCAACGAACCGGGCAAATTAAAAATAGATTCCGCCCTGAAGCTGCCGCTCTGATGCCCCAAACTGCGACACTCTTAGTGATCCCGGCAACTCTACGTATGCCTGTGCATCCCACCCATAGATATGTGCACTGTCAGACATGTCCGCGACCCGTACATCTGTTCTGTCGTCAGAGGACTCTTGTAAAGGATTTAAACTAGACAGTCTGCATGAGTCGGCTGCTTGTGGGTGTACAGCTTCGGATGGAGGCCGGTCCGTCAGTCTCGAGGCGGCTACCAGGCCATGAGACTTGGGCTGAGGGGCAGCACGCGGCAACACACGCGAGGATTGCTGTTGCTGTCGGAGCATTCTCTTCCCAAAGAGACACACAGCGGCGATCACAGCAAGCCCGATGAGAGCTGCCGTAGCACCAAGAGCAATGCCGACGCCCTGATTGGTGCCCAGACCTTGCCCTGCACCATCTTCACAGCCAACTGGGCTTCTGCCCGGACCATTGACCACCGTCTCTGCAGGCCCAGGGGGACCCTCCGTC